GTAGTGGAAAGCTCAGCATCGGTCAAGGTACTTAGTAGGAGGCAGGCAATACATTGATGAGCTAGCGCTTCTGATAAATACGATGGTCTTTGACTACTGTGTCCGCGGAGGCATCATCTACAGTATCCGAGTCCTTACTTGTGATGCTTGTGGTACAGAGGCAAACGGCCAGCTACCCGTTGGCGATTGTGCACGCGAACTAGTCAAACGCGTGATTACATGTAGGTATGTCCGACAAGGCATGGTAAGTGTTATACCAGTGGTAGAAGGACATATTGATGCCTCATGATCTCAGAAGTTTCACAAGTGTGCCAAGCTATACAAGTTCGTAAACGCAAGTTTGACAGCCAAGTGAGCTTGCAAACTTGCAAGTTAACTGGGACAAATTAACTTGTACACCGACAAGTTTGCGCAAGTTAACTTTTGGGCGTCGCAAGTTCGTATTACAAGTTAAAATGTGAACCCTCGAACGGTAGCACGGCGAGAAGCACAGCTATACACCCTAGCAAAGTGCACGTCCATGCCACTCCAAGCCTGTTGAACATAGGGATGGCGACCAGGGGAAGGCCCGCCCCGAACATGCTGCGCATGAGGGTGTTCGCAGCTGTATGGTTTTACCACAGCAAAGGTGATGTCAACGAACGGGTTATCATGCTGAGACTAGGGGTAAGAAGGGCATACCTATGGCGCTGGCTGTATATCTAGAAGTAGGACCCATAATAGTCAGAATTGGTAGGTCATGAATTGTAAGTTACAGTGAACGCTTACTTCGTATATGCATCCAAAAGATAATTGATCCCAGCCTTTCAGGAAGGAATATTGTGACGACGAGTACAATACGCATATATGATATGAAAACCTACCTGAAATATGAGCAGGAACGAGGCTCCGATGAGTGTGAGGCCGATCATGCCAGGGAACCAATGGATGTTCGGGTTCGCAGTCCAGCCAAGTATGAAGAAACCGACGGGGAATGTGATCCCACCTAACACTACGCATAATAGTTAGGGTCGGATTCGAACTTAGAGATGGACCGTAGTGCTCACTCATCGGGGGAAGGCGCATCTCAGGTCTGGCACGACCCTCGTGCTTCTCCATGTGCGGGATGAAAACACGAAGTGTAAACCACATATTAAATCCTGTAAACATCACTTAGCATACCCGCTCCTGTCATGCCTCAACAACCAGAGGCGGAACTCACCGGCGGCAGATACACATCCGACCTAAGAACATTGATTCACCCAAATAAAATAATATGAACACAGCGTGAGGATATATGCATACCAAGACCGCCAGAAACGGCAAACTTCCTACGACTGGATTCCATCCCCGTCCCTCTTCGTAGATAATCGGAATGGCACTAAAGAACAGATATAGAATACCGTCTAACGTAGATAGCAGTAGTCAAGGAGTCAGAAAAAGTATTTTTCGACATCATTGCGGTGATTGACAGAAGAGAATCCGGCTTACAAGTGAAGCTGTTGTAGAGGGTCAGAACACTGTAATCGTTGATGATAGGTTAGTAACTAGTAGTACTTTGACTCGTGTCATGATGCCAGAACTTGAACTCACAAGACCATAGGCTCCAATGCAAGCATTCTTAGCGGTCTCGTCAGATTCTTCTCTACAAAGCTGCCGAGGGTAAACTCTTGCATTTCTTGGCGGCTGTGCAACTCCCATCTACCCGTTCGAAGGCGAAGCTCTTTTGCTTTAGCAGAGAGCAGTGCCGGACCGTAGGTCTCTGGGAGGAAAACCGCGTTTATAGAGATCTTGATTGAGCTCAATTAGTGTAGCTATCGAGTCGAAACTTAGGCATATGAGCACTCACGATGGTTCCAGTGAGAATGACTACGAGGTATTCGCACCACCGCCATCCTAGAGAAGGATGATTTGAGACAGCGCTGCCTATAATCTTCATGGAACTATATCAGGCCTCGATGACCAGGCGAGGAGATGAGACATAACGCACGGGGCCGACTAAAGGTCCTCCGACGACAGTCAAGGCATAAAGGACTAGTGGTCATAGCATGAGAGAAGTCATTGCAAGCAATCTAACCACATACCGACTGCGCCGGCACGCTGCCTTTGATTGAACATATCCTGTGGGTCATATAATGAACATTAGTGAACCACAAAGTGGTTTGAACGAGGAGCTGACCGCAAGCCCTCCACCGACGTTGACAACGGGTGCACTAGCCATTAATCCACCGAAAAAACCTGCACAAATTGTGAGCTTACCTTGACGACGGATGATTAGATTTGGTACCTACGAGTAATGTATATAGTTTGCACGTCCTTTGCTGTTGCCGTAGCGGCGGAGAAGCAAGTGAAGATGAACATTGGGATAAGGACAGCGAGACGCCGTCCATAGAGCTCGGACAGTGGGGCGAACACGATTGGTCCGGGCACGTAGCCTGCGGAAGACAATGTTAGTACCTATAAGGGGTTTCGTAAAGTGATACTTACCGAGGATAAAAAGACTAGTTCCCAGGACAGCAACCTCGGATGAGATACCTGAAACGATGAGCGAGAGACATAAGCAAAGCACGCGGGTAACAGACGATATTCACAAAGCTCTAGACGGTGCTTACCGTACTCTCGAATGATCCCGCTCGAGCCAGATCCAAAGATGCTACTCGAAAAGGAGGAACCTGTGGTAGTTGCAGATCAGAATGGACACATATTTGACGCTGTATCATGTCCGAGAAACAATACACAACACCCACACATTGTGATTGATCCATAGAGTATAGTGACCAATATTTTGTAGCTAGACGACCAGTTCTGCGGATTTTGAGGATCGTCTGGTGAGTCCCATCTATATAGTTATATTTAAAATCAGACTACGGCGAGGATAGGGTCAAACGTACGTGACGATATTGTCCTGCCATGTCCGCTCCTCGCGGCCGGGAAGGTACCCACCAAGCTCCAACTTGTCTCCCTCTCGTCTCCGATCTTTCTCAGAGCCAATCTGTTTGTATGCCGCTCGTATTTCATCTGCCTGAGAGTGGCCATCAGTATTGTCCTCGTCTTGAACAATTGTTGTGTCATGGCTCGTGGCAACTCTGCGAGTCACGGTGGTGAGATCCCCAGGAACACTGTGAACACGACGAAGAGAAGGTTCCGGCATCGGGAGCAAAGAAGACCAGTAATTTTCTTTGCATTTCTGGTGGCTCAACTAGCTTTGCTTTTAAAGCTAGAGGGGTAGCAATCGACTCGAGAAGGGAAGGATGCGACGGCGGAGCCCTGCGGAAGCACCCGTCGGGGCAACGGTCATGACTGTTGAAACGTTGGGTTCAATGGGAAGATGTCAGTAAGTAGTGTCACTTGGAAAGGTCTGCATGAATGGAGCTCCGGAAATGGACCCACATCGTTCTAACCAGCGGCCATATGGCAACGTTCAAAAGACCCTAAACGTCAACTCGTTGACTTACTTCAACTCTATTCACCTGCGATTTGGTGCACGCCACTCCCAAACGGAACTTGCTTATATATCTCTCAAACCTTTCCTGTGTCACAGAAGATCCGTGGGGAGACGGTCCGGTAGAGAAGAGAACGAAAGGAGGTTCCCAAGAGGTTCCACAAGAAAGGGTGGAGATGTTCTGATGCCGTGGGAACTGTGGCACTCCACAAGTTGTGGCACGTCTCGTTGACCCCAAGCGTTGGTGACGATGAGAGCTAGATATCAAAACTGTAACATCTATTGCGACTGTTGTTGTTACAGTACTCTAGTGATACCACTGCAAGGATGTACGCACGGAATATGGCGAAGAAGAATATACACCATGGAGATTCTATGGCAGAGTCTATAGGTGTTTTACGTCGAGAAGTTGGGCTCTAAGTGTCCATCTTCCAGGGAAGCTAAAAGTACCTTCTTCTTCAATCTTCGTGGAAGTCTATTTCTCGCCTTTTCTCTATTTCTCCGAGAGTGATATGGCTCCTTTCGCACATACCCCTGAAAATGCCTCCCTCCTTCCTGAACAGATTGACAGGAGTGTCGTATTCCTGTCGAAGGTACGTTGAGTATTGAATATTGAGATCGTAGAGTGATATTCGCGAAGTCACTCACCGCCACTGTACCATCGTTGAGTACCAAGATACGGTCGTAGGATACAATAGTCCTCAGTCGATCTGAAACGCATTCACACTGCAGTCAGCGTACTGAATCGTAATCACGGAGCCGTCGCACTCACGAGCGATGCAGAGTAGAGTGCGATCATGAAATTGTGTGTGTATTGTTCTACAGGAACATGGGAGAACAGGCATCAGTCGCTGTGGCGCACGTATTCATGCTTCGACTCACCTTTGAATCTTCGAGTCGGTCTCCAGATCGACAGAGGCCCTATGAGATAAGCGGTGAGTCTCATCTGAGCAGGAACGACAAGGAAGGTAGGAGGGTGGGGATGGCCAATGCGATTGACTCACGTGGCCTCATCTAATATGACCACCTTGCTATCTTTTACGAGAGCACGGGCAAGGCTCAATAACGAGCGTTCTCCGACAGAAAGGTTTGCGCCGTCACTCTCGATGATTGTATCCAGTGTAAACTTTTCGGATCGATCTTCCGTTTCGTCCATGGTCTGCATGTCGAGCGAACTTCTCGTGCTGGAACCAACGAGATAGGAACGCCGGAGAGCATCCCACAGATGTGCATCATCAAACATAGAGAAGGGATCCAGATTGGAGCGCACAGTCCCTACATGGCAGAACGAGATGGAATATAGTAAAAACTTCGGTCGTGCACAGAGGGTAGCAATTCTGAACTCACCGCTGAGGATCGTTGGATCTTGTGGTATGATACTCAGTTTCTCTCTGAGGTCCTTGAGACCCAGAGTAGAAATATCGACCCTGCAACAATTCCGGAGTCAGAGACCACAATATTATGGATCATAAAGCTTACCCGTCAATGGATATGGAACCGGAATTGAGCTCCACAATTCGGAACAAAGCTAACATCAGACTTGACTTGCCGGCACCGGTCCTTGTTGGAGTATAGCGCCAGGTAAGGGAGCTAAACAACTTATGATCAAGATTTTATGGCATACCTTCCGACAACGCCAACCTTTTCCCCGCCCCGCACGTTGATCGATATACCCTTCAGCACGCTCGGAAGGCCTGGCCGATAGCTCATGACAACATCCTTGAACTCAACAGCACCTCGCAAAGGCCACTCTTGTGGAGGTTTGACGTCCTTCTTCTCATATGGCGCTTCTTGCGGTACACCACCCAATCGACTGTAGTGGACGACTACCACCTACGTTAGCGACTACAGCTGTACCGTAGTAACCAAGGACTCACCCCTCTCCACAGAGGTCATGTAATTCTACGAACAGAACTATTAGTGAGTGTGTCTTTAACACTTGGAAGCGGCTGGCACCCTACCTCAACCTCTGCAGTCTGTCTGGTGAACATACCGCAAAGTTGAGTCAAGTTCGTTGTGTACGTGAGAACAAGACCTATAAAAAGTCAGTACGCAGGTGCTTCCGACCGTTGAAGCAGAATCTCACCAATCTAGAAGGATAGGCGTCAGTTTGAGTACTCGTAGGAATACAAGTGACTACTGACTTGAGAAGGACTGATGTTTGACACGCCGACAACAGCGAATATTGCCACCTAAGGCGCGTTATCATCCGACCGATACAACACTTCATCGTGGAATTCTCACCAAGAATACCATGAGAGCTCCCAAAAAGTCGAGTCTGACGGATAGCCATCTGCAAAAGCCGCAACAGTGATCGCGCTGAGTATGGTTCCAGTATCAGCCGACCCTAACTAACCTTTGATTGGTAACGCTAGGAGAATCACTAATTAGAATGAAGACCTTGCAGAGAAGACGAGGGAACTAACGTGAGGAAGAGAGCACGGTTCTCCAGATCAACGTAGTATTTATTGTCGCGAAGAAACCTGGGCATTTCACCGTAGCTTCGAATGGTAGCCAAACCCGATAGGGACTCGGAGAAATGCGAGTATAGCACAGAGCGAAGCATGCCGTCTAAAGTTCGGTTCATATAGCGAAAATAGCATCATATTTGCGGATGACTTACCAAGACGTTTAAGCTGGAAAGTAAGACAGGTGAATATCGTGCACCGCGCATAAGGATGTTGACGTACCTCGCGCGCACTGGCCTTATAAAATCTAAAGATGTATGCGTAGCCCAGGAGTATAATAGCAGCAGCGAGGACTGGGTTTCATTTAGGACTGTTATTTTGCAGTGCAAGTTAACAGAACATACTGAAGTAGTGCTCCAGGATAGTGATGATCACCAAAGCCCCGATGACGTTCGCCAGTGTGATCACAACTGCGACGAGGTTTAGTATTAATGCCCGCATCAATGTCAATTTCACTCACAGAGCCTCATGGAAACTAGAGCTACAAGTCAGCGATACAAGTGTTGGATGCAGCGGAAGCATACATACCGGGAAGTTGATCATCGATGGCTAATAAAGTGCGTCAGTGAGCCTCAGGTTACGACTGTAGATACCACACGACGTACAGTCAAAGTCCTTGCCGAATATACCCAGAATCCTTCCCATAGGCTAGAAATAGTTCAGCGCCTTGACCTTCTCTCGGGGAATTTGAGTGCGTACGTTTGTGTCAAAGAATGACATAGGCGCGAAGAAGATGCTACATCGATCGTCAGTAATATATTTATTGAAGTTGAATATCAGCGGCGTACCGTGTCAGGGCATCATGGTGGAGGTTCTGGGATACGAAGAAGGCAAAACTGTCCATCGCAATACCACTAAGAACACCGAATGTGATCAGTGGAAGCCGACGAGGGAACGATGGTGTCGGACACGCACGCCAAAAACGTGAAAATGGATTGCGAAATGCCCAAACAAGCGTAGAGGATCTGGTAGAAGGAGAAGGGCTGATTGAAGGTACTGCGCAGGAATGTGAGCAATAGTTGATGAGACGGCACTGTGGCGTTCTCACTTCGCTTGCCACCAAACCTGTCCGTTGAAAGCATTATTAGTAGGTGATTATACAAGGACGCCAAATAGCACGAACGAGAGTATAGCTATTGAAAATCTAGGAAATTCGGCGTTAATAAACCCAGAATACAAGGGTCGTCGTGAGAAGCAGACCTGGGAACATTGCTATAAGGATCAGGAGTACGATCAGCCTATCAATATGTATGAGAGCGCGAGCACTTCTCACCATCAACAAAATGAAGATAGCGATGAAGGGTCCAGTGAGCCACCCCCTCCCGGCCAATATATAGCTTTGGTTGACTGAACAGAAAAATCAGCTCACGAAACGACAAATTAACGAGGATATGAGGCACCCTTCCAAGGAACAGACCCGGTCTCTCGCTTTTCGGCGACCATCAGACGACCCTCCAACTTGTTCTTGACGTGACTGCGGTTCTTCTCTACTTTGCTACGGACATGAGCAACATCAAGCGATTTTGGCGCATTTGAAGGTGCAGCCTCAATGGCCTCCTCTTCATCCTCCTCCGTCTTCTGGGCACGCCCTTGACCTCCAAATTCTCTGTCAAGACGAGCAAACTCCCCGTTCCTGGCCAGAAGATCATCGTACGTTCCATGCTCAGCGACATGCCCGTCACGCAATGCATAGATGTAGTCCACTTCGGGAAGGAAATACAGGGCATGGGTGACCAGTATGACTGTCTTCCCGCGTCCGCGAAGAGCCCCAAGAAAAGCGTTGGTGAATAGCGCTCGACCAACGTGTGCATCCACAGCGCTCAGAGCATCATCGGCCAAAACAATGTCTGCATCGAAGTAAAGTGCTCGAGCTATGCTCACCTGCGCACACGATCAGTATACGAGTGATATTCACATGCACAAAGGAAGGGTACTCTTACACGCTGCTTTTGGCCGCCACTCAAATTGATTCCTTTTTCGCCAATCTAGAGAAAGGAAGGTCAATGAGGGCGTTCACGCAACACGCGAAGGTAACCATTCACTTCTGTCATGTCACCACCAGGGAGTACATCCAGATCTTGGAGAAGAGATGCATCTTCCACGGCTTTCCAGTATCTATCTTCGTCGAAGGGTTGGCCGAATAAGATGTTGTCCCTCTATGAACCTTAAGTTAGATAGTGTCATGAACATGATGAATGGATGTACCAGTGTGGCGTTTTGGATCCATGCCGTTTGAGGACAATAACCAACGCGCCCACTAAAGAGTACGCTGCCCGAGACCTTTCGCATCTCTCCGATCATGCCTTGCAATAGACTCGACTAATGCGGTCATCAGTTGTGGGGACATATTTTCTCAAACAGGTGCGAGGCCTACCTTGCCGCATCCTACGGGACCAACCACCGCAACCAACGTACCCTTCTCAACAGTCATCGACACATTTTGAATCTGAAATGGTCTCCGCGCTTTGGGCTGAGAAGGTATAGCGTCGGCTTCGGAGACCTCTACTGACTCCTTCTCCTTCTCCATGTCATTCTCTGGCTCTGGCTCGTCAGAATCACCTCTGCCTTCTTCCCATTCGAAAGTGACGTTGTCTAACTGTACGGCGAACTTCAAGTTCTCCGAGGTTTCGACTGCAGCTTCCGAGTCAGACATCGTTTCTGCTCCGAACACTTCAGCCAGTCGAATCACAGCGTTGTGTGCATCTGTGATGGCCGAGAGAGCACGCGGTAGGAACCTAAAAATGAAACCGTTTTAGCTTCCATCTACGAAGACATGGACAATAGGCTCGCATCATCGGTTGGCGAAGGAGCTAGAAGATAATGACCTCAGTATCACATCAGGCGGAGAAGATTTTTGACTGCACCTGAAACAGGCTGAACGAAGAAAAGATTATGGCGGCATCGAAGGTCTTGTTCGTCAGCGTATAGGTGACGAAAGACAAGGTCGCTGCGAGAACTGGGATCGAGTTCGCCATCGCAACGCTAACAAGACAACGATTAGACCCTAGTACGAGGACTCAGCGCTTAAGAGACACACTTGGCGGAACGGGCGAATTGAATTTTCCGGACACCCTCTAGCTCGGATTTGCGGATGCAAAAGATACCTAGACAATGTGCAGTGTATCACTAATCCGAAGAGGGAGAGTGATCAAAGGTAACTCACGTTGTAGGAAGGGAACTTCGTAAGTGAAGTACTTCACTATCCGCATAGCCCCTGGAGAGCGAGCAACATATTAGCCTATAAATGCTCTGGGATAAGGTTTATTCCATACCTAAGACCTCAAGGAGTAGTTTAGCTCTCTTGTCAGTGTATGTCATTGACTCCTTCCGAACGGCGAACTGCTTGGCCATGATGCGCTCTTGTATCGGTACGATCAAGGCGAACAGAGAGAAGCCGGCTAACGCAGATGGGCCCAGCTACATTGAATGATTCAATAAGGGAAATAATGATGGAGCGCAAATAAATTACCTGGACCTGGAAGACTTGGCGTCAGTTGTCAAAAATCGGGGAAGCGAGAAGGTTATACATACAATGAGGATGATCATGCAGACCATAACTTGAATAGGAGCAGTCCAAGCTAAAGCAGTGGTAATCGCATCAGTTCTAGCCTGACATCGATCATTTTAGTATCTTAGACACGAACACGCGTGGAACCATTGAGCAGCTGCGTCTATTCTGGAGATCTACTGAACACGTCAGGACATACTACGGGCGGCTGCTCATAAAGGGGACCTACATCTGACGATACATAATTCATTAGTAACGCATTGGGATAAGAGGTTCTCGCTTTGGGAGTAAGCATGACGCCCTTCTTGTAGGTTGAGCAGATCAAGGCACCACGTGCTAATACTCCCGTCTGCATCGACCGCCAGAAGAATTGGTGTTGACCGATACTTGCGCAAGCTGCTACAAAGTCAGCACCACCGTGGTGATAGGACCTACGAAGATCAACTTGCCCGTGAGAAGAAAGAGGCCGACCGCCATACCCACACCGCGTCCAATATTAGGAGGGGCACTCCCGTCTTCTTTGTCTGCTGCGACTTCTTTGCTGAAGTTGATGATTGCCTGAGAGAGAAACGGTAAAACAGTAAGCTGATTTATCTACACGCAGGCTAGCTCCTCAAACATACACGAATCAACAGGGGACACATAAGCTGCATAGTGTCACCCAAGACCTGCATCATTCGCCTTCAATACCCGAGCTCCAGCGAGTCAGAACAACAACAGACGGACCTTGAAGACACCACCTATCCAGAAACTTCGCCCAAAAGTGTCGTTCATCGCCCACGCGAGGCTGGGGCGTTTTAGCCCCGTAACCTCGCGCCACTCCCTCTCGAGATTCTGTCGAGTGTCCCGGTAGGTTGTAGGATGGACGGCTGCGCGGATAGACCATGCCGTGCGCTGGATGAGACTGGGCCTGATGTCCCCGGCAGCAAGTTGTTCATTCCATTTCTTTGCCTCACCGACACGACGAGTCCAAGCTGCATCGAGTGTCGCGGAAAGTCTGTCGACTGATCTGGACTCGTCGAGCTTGTACAGATCAGTAGCTTGGAGTGTGCGTTGGTATCCGAGGACCTGTTTGGAATTAAGAGGGTAGGTTGGAATAAACGAACGAAGGGAAGCAATAGTACCATGATGTCGGTAATCCAAGTGTAGGTCAGAATCGAGAACAAAGACGCTGTCGCGAGCGGGGTTATCTACAACAGTGTTCGGTCATTCAGCCAAACTAGTTCACTTTCATGAATCAAGCCAAACTTGAACTCCACCTGAGCATCTTCGAAAGAAGCCGGAGCCTTGGGAGGAGGATCCTTCGGGCGCCTTCAGGATTTATGCGTTGAGTAAACAGACATCGCGTCAATTCCAAGCAAACAACTCACCAAACCTGCCACCATTTCTCTCGGTAAGTCGCCCTTTCCACGCCCTGGTCCAGCTGAAGGTCTGGCGTCCGCTCAGGGACAGACTTCTGCTTCGAGTCGTCTGCTGCAACAGCCTTCTCATCTGCGGTATCGACGCCCATTGCCTTCGTCGTTCACTTCACCAGAGTCTGAAGCTTCAGCCTGAGAATGTGGGGTGCGTCAGAGGCGACGTTCGCGCGTGCGCCAGCCTGCAGCCTCTCAAGATATAGCCATTATGATAAAGCCTCGTTCCCTGGGACCCAATCTGAGAACCTCGGCAGCAAATGCCGAAACACGGTTCACATATGGCATTCATCTGCATCCAGGGGAGGACTTCACAATTTTCGAGCCAAAAATAGTTCTGGAGCCAGTACCGTTGCGGGCGTCCGACTGATTCTTTATGACAAACTGTAAGACACATCGTCCCATATGACGCAGGGCTCAACGAGTTAAGTTGGAGCCTGGCAAGCAATCGACTTGGACGAGGAGCACAGATAGTCCAACTCGAGCTCGTCCAGCTGTGGGGATCAGTCCTTGCAATTTACGAGCAGAGGGAAACGCGCACGAAAACAGATCCAGGACTGGGCGCTCGAGGTACACAATAAAATGCATCTTTCACCACGACGAGTCGACGTGCAAAGGTTCGAACACGAGCGTTGCGTCGGAAAGAAGTCGCGCAATTGGCCATGGGTAAGTTTCGCATTCGAAATCAGATAACAAAAGGCGCTCAGATAAGATTGAGCCGGGACAGTCCCGAACCGCATGCGCAGGCGGTCCGCGCCACCCGCTGAACGTTGGAAGGTTCTTACTTACGCCACAGCACAGCCTCAATCTATGTAAAGAGCGCTCGAACTCTCAAGTTGAAAGAATAGCAAGATGCCCGGTATGTAGATGGTGACCATGTCAATGAGATCAGCAAAATTATCTAACTAGCCAGTGGTACATAGATCCTCTAGGTATGCAAGTATGCGATTAAGAATACTGGGTAAAGTACAACTCGCAAGATCTAGGCCATGCGCTGATGCAAGTCGGAGTGGGTGGGTATGCAAAAGAAAATGAAAAGAAAAGGATATAATAGATAAGCCATTGAATGCTTCTCGTAGATGATGATCGGTGGACGGTAGATGATGGATGCTCGAGTGTATGCAAGGAACTTGGAAAGGAGGCAGAACAAGCAATGTTCATAACGATAGGTTGCAGTGTCAGTCGGAGCCGACCAATAAGATAGCGAGACAAGGTAGAAAAGAAAATGAACGAGTGACGATGATGGCTCAAGTTAAATGTGCCCCAGGATGAATCAGATATACAAAACATACGTCCCAATAACCGGTCGATGGTCGCTCCTCCCCTCCAGCCTCCTCATCCCGCGATCGTCCAAAGTCCTATAACTCTGACAAACGATATCACCTCTCCTCGGAGCCGGAGCCGGAGCCGGAATCGGAGTAGGCGAAGGCGCACGTTCCGGCGGCCCATGCCCATCCCTCGACGATTCGGTGGAAGTGGAGAGGAAAGGCAGGAAACGCCATCGGGCAGAGGAATGATGGACCGAATCTTTCGGTGGGACGGCGGGTGGAGGCGGAGAATCGGCGTTGAAGGAGTGTCGTGGTGATGCGAGATTGGATGAAAGAGGAGAGATGGGTCGAAGTGCGGGTAGGAGTTCTGGAGAAGTGGAGGCGCGGACAGGGGCGGGGGCGGGAGCGACTGGTGAGGTGGCCGTTCGAGGACGTGGAGAGAGGATGTTGAGCATAGGTGGGGATTGGCTATCTAGTGCTGTACTTGAGCGTGATCGGGCCAATGAAGGTCGTGGGCTGATAGACATGTAGTCGACGGACTGTGGTCTTGATCGCTTGCCGCCAAATGGTGGACTTCCAGGCTTGTGAAATGGTTCGGGAAAGTTGCCGTGACCTTGGGTGGGGACTGTTGTGGTGCTACTAAGAGGCGAGGGGATGGTAGGCAGATCTGTTGATCGCACAGAAGCTATCGACCCCCTCCTACTGCGTGAAGAAAATGAACGCCATGCATGTGCGAAGAGTTGACCGACAGTCCGCGTGTGGGTGCAGTGGTCCAACTCTTCCTCCGGCGGCTTCACCGTCGACTTGAACAGTATTCGGTCGCACCTACAGGAATCCCGATATCAGCACAAATTTCTTACAGAACAGACATAAAAAAGTACCAGACATACCAGCTCGGAACACGCTGCTTGCTCGACGAATCATAAACCCCAATATCCACCTCAAGCTCGTCCCCATCCACAATTGCCGCCATTGCCCCCGACTTTGTCGAACTCGCCCTCGGCGGTCCGCCCCCAATAGATATAGACGCCGACTGCTGCACAGAGCCCATCAACGTCTCATGCTCCGCCGCACTTTTGCTGGCCGCCAACGCCGCATACGTACTCGCATGTCTCGACATGACCAACGGCGTATTCGGCGCGCTCTTCGAGTACTGATAGTCCATCGCGACGCCCGTCGACCTGCTCTTCTGCTTCGGGCGCTTGCGGGGATCATTATTACGATTATGATTACTGTTATTGTTATTGGTATGAAGACCGCTGACGTGCAGGCCCGGGTTCGAAGCAACGAACACGTTCCACTTCAGTTTCGCCTTATGCGCCGCGCTACCGAGCGAAAGTTTCGCCACGAGTCGTTTCGCGCCGAGCGCCGTCGACGACTTGTTATGCGGCGGAACGGTCTGCTCGTCCGAATCGTCTTCGTCATCGTGATCGTCCTGGTCCATCGTCCGCTTGGAGGTGGAAGTGCCGGACGACTTGGACATGACGGAGTATACCTCCCCTTCCCTTCTCGCACCCGCGTCTTCCTCACCATCCACCTCGTCCTCCGCATCCCCACTCCCCGCATTCCCGCTCCCATGACCAGCTTCCTCTTCCCCGTCCGAACTCTCATGCCCCTTCTCATCCTGGCAATCTGGATCAGCACACTCACCAACAGCAGCAGCAGGCGTATTCACGGATGCGTGCTCGCGTATGACCTGCGCGGCCACAGCGGCGTCCTCAGGTACCGCCTGCGCGGCCACCGCATCCGCATAATTCGAATTCTGCCTCTTTGGCCGTTTGCGTTTCGATTTGAGCGTGCGAAGGACGTCGTATTTGAACGTAGGCGGGAAATGGATGGGCGCTTCGTGGAAGCCGACGAAGGCTTGGCCGTTCCGCATGAGGTTGTAGAGCTGGTCGAAGGCGAGGGCTTGTTCGTATTCTGGGAGTGAGAGGATGGTTAGTGGGTTGTTAGATTGTAGGGGAAGAAAGAACGAAAACTCACCTCGTCTCGCAATAAGCCAATCCGCATGCAACCGCGAAATATCAAGCCGAAAGTTCAGATCGCCACAGAGAAACGTGTAGTCGAATTTATCCGTCAGATCTGGCAACAATATCAACACGCGAATCAATATCGCATTGCTTTTCGGTACACGTCTGAGGTAGGATGATAGGACGCACCTTCGACCAAATTCCGCGGATCGTCCGGTTTCAGGAATGCATCGACGGTCAATCCGCTCTATAATCGAAATGGGGTCCATCTCAACAACCGAATACCCCAAAACAGGTCAAGCACATACCTTGATCTTACTCAGATTAGCCATCCTATTCAACAGCCTGCCTTCATGGGCTATTCCAGCCAACACGCGATAGACAGTGCACCGATCAGGAAACCAGAAACACAAATATGACAATGCGAACGAGCGACTCACCAGCGAGATGCGCGTTGATAACCAAGATCGTCGTTCCCGAAAGATTGATACTAATCCCCACCGCACCTTTATTGCCCACTCGCCCTCCGATCAAACCAGCCGTGACCGCCGACTTTGACGTTCCTTAACACACAAATAAAACAGCGTCAATCCAAACTCCACTCCCAGTCCCACAACCCTCCTTCCCAAGAGCTCAAAAAAAGGAGGCGTGTGTAGCCTATGGAAAAAAAAGACGAGGCGGGGTAAAGAAAGAAATCAAGCAACTCACCCTCAACCAACCCCCTAACCCCCTTATGCACAAAAACAGCCAAATAAATCCCCATCATCCTCTCCTTCACCAACATCTCATACGGCCCCGCTCCCCGCCTCTCCACCACCTGCCTCCGATGATGATGATGCCTGGAAGTGATATCGCCAGTCGAAAGCGCACGGCCGACGTTGTGGAGGAGTTTTTCTTGTTTGAATTCACTGTGGAGGAGCCCTCCGCCGCCGCCTCCACTGACAATTCCGCTAGTGAGGTTGCCGCCACTGCCACTGAGGTTGCCGTTGCCGTTGCCACTGAGATTGCCGTTGCTGGTGTGGTTGCTATTACTATTACCGACAAGTCCCCCCACAGCAGACCCCGCCCCGAGCCCCACGCCCGCTCCAACTCCAACCCCAGCCCCAACAGCCCCATTCACCCCAACCTCACTCTGCGTCACCGCGTGTCTCAGATGCGGATAATGCGCATGGTGCTCTCTATGGTGGTGCTCTCTGTGTCCTCCATGTTCTCTGTATCCATACCCATGTCCATGCGAATGCGGATGCACGTCCTTAATCCCATGCACGAACCAATCCTCCAAAATCGCCGTCCATCCCGAGGACGCACCACCACTGTGCATCGCCGTCACATTCCCCGTCGCCGTCGCATTGGTCGTGGTGGAAGTAGGAGCAGCAGCCTCGTCGTGGTCCAAGTCTTTCGATTTGCGGGCTTTGATGGGACTAGGGCTGGGGATGGGCGGATTCGGATTTGCACTCGGATTCGGATTTGGAGAGGTGTTGGCGGTGGGGGGTGGAGGATCGAAAGGGTCCTCGGATGGTTTCTCTTTCTCTTTTTCTTTTTCTTTGTCCTTTTCTTTGTCTTTTAGTTTGAAGCCTGCGCCGAGGCCCATGGGGAGACCTATACACATAAAGAAAGATGACACAGTTATTACAGGTCAAGCCCAAGAGGAGAGGTTAAGATGGAATGGATCCGAAAAAGAACGTACCTGATAAACTCGGACATTCCTGGCCCGCACTACATACCAAACAAACCGGTCAACGAACGCACTCCCCACACCAAACAACAGTAAACGAAACGACATACACAATAATAAGATGATAAGGATGTCCATCCTCCGTCGACAGCGCCGGGAACGCATCAGAGTCGTTCGTCGTGCCCGTAGGGTCATACTCCGGCACGGCGCCTAGGAGTTCTTCGAGGTCGCCCTGTGATGCACAATGAACAATAAAATGAAACAACGACGGACAGCCACCATCATCATCACCGACACGATCACCGCCACCACCACCATCACACAACCAACCGCACACAAGACCGACCGAGCCCGCACGATACAATAAAACGCACACCGTCAGCACCCCGCCGACAAGGAATAGAATGATGAGGAGAGGGAGGGAGGAGGAGAGAGAGAGGAAGAGAGGGGGGGTAGAGAGGAAGACACGCACCTTCGGTAACGACTCGTGCATGTTCCAAGTAACAATACGTGTCTTCAGCGCTTTTGGCGGAGGACCCTGCGGTGCGACGGGCATCCTGCTGCCTTCGCCTGAGGGCGGCAAGCTGGAGGACGAAGGGAAGAGGGAGTGGAATCGGGAGAAAGGGCCTGGTGTGCGTGTGTGCGTGTACCCGTATATCGTCGACGAAGCATAGCATTGGTTTAATATTCCCAGAGTTTGGAGAGTCGTACGCAGCCGTAGGTCGATATAAGATGCATGGATGGAGGAGATGAAGTGAAATGAAATCCGCGTGGTCATAACGTCAGTCTCTTCGTCTTCTCGTCTTCTCGATATGCAGGAGGGAGAGGGAGGGAGAGAAGAGAACGCACCCTGCCACGGTGGCCTAAACCCATGCGAATGCTGGTGCTGATGCTGTTGCTGCTGATACCCCGGCCCAGCACTACTCGGCAGATCGAGCGTATGCGCATGCGGGATCGGGATCGCACTCCTCCTACCACTAGTCCCAGTCCCAGTCCCACCACTCATGCCATGCCCATGTCCATGAACGGTGCTCCCCGTCCCCGTCGGCGACACCGCAACGCTAGGCAAACTAGAGGGTGAGGAAGGGCTGATAGGACTTCCAGGCGAGATAGAGATAGGACTGAATGACTCTGGTGAGGAGGTCGGAGCGGAGAAGGAGGTGGAGAGAGGACTGGAGAGGGGAGAGGAGGAGTAGATCGAGATGGACGGGGGGGAAGGAGAGACGGAGATTGAGAATGGATCTTTCGGAGACGGAGATGGCTGCTGTTCGTGTTGGTGCTGGCCATGTCCAAATAGGTTGGTGGCCTGCGCGTGCATCGTGTGTGTGTGTGTGTGTGTGCTTCGACTTCGGTAAACACCCAGGAATAGCTCTATGCTCGAGGAGTGGAGACGCGACCGTGACGGCCACTGTAGACGATGTGCAGTCGATGTCGATGTCGATGACTTGGCGGAGGAGCGTCACCCACGGTAACTAATCTTCGTCGTGGTCCTTGTCGTCGTCCAAGCGAGCGTAAGAGTCGGCGGTGGGTCCTAAAGCCGCACGCGAGCAGAACGAGGCAGCCCGCGGTGTCAGAACCTTCAGGGCTTCAGGGGGGTAAGTGTAGCACAGGAAAAGAAGGTTTCCTAGCGCTTGTCCGTGAAACTGGCAGGCAAGGCACTGACTGTCCTTACTGTTCCCGGTCTTGCGATTCTGCGGAGCCTAGCGCTGATGCGATGATGGATGCTGGGAATACGGCGGCGAGAGGAGCAGGCTGCTGTAAATTATGTATGTGGCTATGAGGCCGAGGGTAGGTATGTATGTAAAAAAAGTATCGAGTATCGAGTCGCGAAATAATAAACGAGGGGCCGTCGCGAGTCGCGACGAGTGAATTGGGGCGGGCGAAATAAGCGAGTGTGTTGGGTGTGTTACAGCTATGATTGACAGCGTTAACGTTGGCGAAGGCGGTGGCAAGTGTGGCGTTCAGTCCATCCGGGACGAACGTTGAGCGTTGACGGTGAAGATGAGGTTGTCTCAGAGAAGTATTGAAACTGTACATGTAACTGTCTGCACTTGCACGACTGTATGTACCTGGACAACTGTAACGCCACCGGCATAACAACTGTTGACCGTCGACCGTCGAGGCCACACGCCACAACAACGACTCGGAGAGAACAAGCAAATGTAAAGATGTAATTATGTTTCTATGGCCCTGGGACAAGGAGTATATACGTGTTCGGAGCAAGAATGTAAATAAATACAAAAAGGGAGTCCTGTCCTGTGCGTAAACCCGACCTATTATTTAAAAGCGTAGTGATGACCCAAAAATCCATCAGATGAAGATGTAGACAATAAGATGTGATGTGATGTACGCCCAGGTATGTTCGTAAGACAGCAAGCACAGATCAAAAAATAGAGTTGATGAGCCCGCTCCCAATCGCAGAGCCTGACAGTGATAAAAAACAAACAAACAAGAGTCATGAGCATCACCACAGCCGAGCGAAAACATAGCACAGTAGTCACGAAAAACGCACCTGCACCAAACCCGACACCTCCCACCGCCGACGTAGCCAACTACATTCATAGAACCAACACATCAGCGCACCGCTCTTTAAATAGAAATAGGAATAGACACAAAACACAAAACACAAAACACAAAACACAAAACACGAAAGAGACACTCACAGTCTGCTTCAACCCCCCATACTTACTCTCCTTCTGCGGCGGCTGTTCCTGCTGCACCTGCACCTGTTGCGGTGGCGGCTGTTGTACAGCCCCGGCCCCCGGTCCATTCATATACGGATTATATCCCTGCACTTGTTGTGGTGGTGGCGGTCCTTGGTACGGCACCGGCGCGTTATTGTTGTTGTACGAGTTGTACTCGGGCGAGGAGTACGATGGCGAACGGGATTCGGACGGGGGAGGGTAGGGGGGAGCGGAGACGGACGAAGAGTCCAGTTTCTCGACGTAGTTGGACGGGAAGAGACCCTGTCTTCCGCCGATCTTGCCGGTCCACCAGTCGGCGTTGGTCTCTGTTACGATCTCGATGATGTCGCCGGCTTGGAAGCTGAGGTCGTTCGGGTCCTATGTGTCATTGTTACGGAACGGAGGGGATGTCAGTGTCGGTTTGCGATTGGGAAGATCATGGATGGATGTGTGTGGGTATGGGACCACAGGATTTGGGTATGATATGATGGAACGAGTATCGCCCGAAAGAGACGCCGTCTACTTATGTTGGAAGAACCCCTGATGAGAACTATTTTGGGGCATGCCCGTCGTAAGCTCATGGCTGTGATACAACACGCCATGCAAACAAACGCATAAAGAGGCCACGACATCGTCAAAGACCACAAAACGCAATGCCCACTCAATCCGCATTACGTCCCTCTACCCACCATCCGAAATGTGCAGCCGCATTGAACGCAGAGACAGACCCATCAAACGTGAACATACCTGTCCATTCTCATTATACGACCACAACGCCTTCGCCCTCACCACCTTCGGCCCCGGCGGTGGAACTCCCCTCCTCACCGGCGGCCCAAAGTCCGGCGGCGGCGCATGATGCGCATGCGGGGGAGGACTCGAATACGGACTAGTCACACGTCCAGGCGGCGGGCCCTGCGGCGTCGACACCGCGCTGTTCATCATCCCACCAGGCATCGGCATGTTGTGAGAATGAGCAGGACTAGACGAAGGTTCGGGGATCGTCATCCTCCTCGTAGCGTCCGAAAGTGCCATTATATTGTGATCATTATTGGAAGTGGAAGAGGAAGAAGAAGAGGGAAGTTTGGAGAGAATGTCTCGGCCTGAGTCTCGCGAGAGTTCGTTCTGAGAGATGAGGAATTCGATGTTTTGTCGGGTTTGGGAGACGATGTGGGCGATGAGGGCGGCGGGGTCGGGCATGGCTGTCAACTGACTTGTGGGGGTGTATGCTTTCAGCTGGAAGGGTACGGTCTGTTGAGGGATATGAAGGTGGGTCTGTGGAGGACGAAGGAGGTGGCCGTGAAGGACGAGAGCGAGCGAGGTGCCGAGCGCCACACCGCCTTGACGGGATCTCGAAGCCTGCGCCACGTCAGCCAGCTTACGCGCTTACTCATCCTCCCCGCACGGCGTCTTCAATCTAACTCTGAGCTTCGAGCTTCGTCTTCTGCACCCCTACTAGTTACAGTTAACTGCCCACTGGACCAGAAAGACGAATTACATTCCATCGATATCTCAGTCCACTGAATCCAAAGAACATCGACTCCATCGATGATAAGTAGCAGCGAAATGAACCAATGACACAATAAGTACCCAGCCAAGTCGGCAGAGGCAGAATCTAAATAATAAAAAGCCGTACGGAAAGAAAGAAGGCACCAGTTCGATCAAACTTCAAAGGAGAAAGAGGGCGCATGATGGACGTTATAAAGACTAAAAAAACAAACACATAGATGTACGGACGCGCGACCCTCCGAGGACGAATTATTTACAGTGACAGTGACGGAAGCACGAGATGATGGGAGATTGATTTAAGTAATCGAGGCTCGTAAGGTGGAACGAGGACGAGCCCCTTGGGGAAGAGAACGGCGTGAAGGTGGCGGTTGATGGTAATGGTGGAGATGGCGCGATGAGAGAAAAAGAATAGGTATGTGGACAGGACAAGACAAAAAAGAAAGACGACGACTAAAAACACAACGTGCCAACTCCTCTGGGAACAAAAGGACATCTGAATGGAGAGTACGTAAGGTGAAAGGAGAAATTCGAACGGATGCGGATGAGATCGTGATGTGGTGAGGATGGGAGCATGGAGGAACACTGTACTAAACAACTTCAGAGCCCGATAACATAAGAGAGGGAGATAATTTCGAGATAGGGTTTTCCGCGCGAGAACGGAAGGGTGAACGTAAGAGGTCTGTTAGGCCGCAGTGGCCACAGCAGACGATGGACTTGGTGCTCCCGACTGGTCAGCAAGACTTTCGGCCGTCGCCAGACGCTGGAAGATCTGGACATGATGATGATCAAGAACCGGAAGGGTCGTGAGCGAAACGCACATTGATGAGAAGAAAGATGGTCAGAACGACTGCGACGGGGGAGGCTGTGGAAAAAAACAGACACGAACCTTCACATACACAGACGCCTGTTGTCCGCCGCCGACAGCCCATTTGCCGTCGATGATGGTGAACGGAACGCCAGTGACGCCCTTCTGGCGGGCCTCAGCAATTTGGGCCTCAACCTCTGCCAAGAGCTCGTCGGACTTCAAAAAGTCGAGTGCCTGCAATGTGACCGATGAGCAATGAGCAAACAATATCAAAGTAAACGCATTAGGCATCGAGGAATGAGAGTTGCGAATGGGGTACGCCTGCTTGTGGTGATTGGACGCCGCCTCCGAGGGGCTGAGCAAGATCTCAATCCCATCGGGGAGGACGACATAGATCTCCGTCATCCAGACCGTCATTCACGCCCTACATGGAGAAAACGTAAAAATGCGGGGAGATAGAGCGTACCTCTGCTTTTGACATCAAACCGGAAGCTTCTGCGAGGTCGGAAAGCATATCGAGGTCGCACAGGTCCTGCTCATCCTGTTGATACGCCTTGAAGATATTGCGCAGAAGATCGGCCTGGGTTTTTGGGCCTCCGATGTGCAAGGCTTTCATCATCAACCTATGCGCTCGTGTTGATTGCGAAATCTTGCCCTGGAATGAACTGCAAACATGATTAGATACGACAGCTAGCGTGACAGACACGAGATACGTGCACAAGGAACGTATGTGGGAAACAGCAGGGAAAGCACGCTCAATGGCGTCATCGAAAAGATGCAAAGGCGGCCGTACTCAGGCATACAAGAATGCGGCGCGTGCAATAGTATTCAATCTTCGGAGGGGGAGATGCACGGAGGAAAGAACGAAACGCAAAGGTATACATCGAGATCAGACTCACATGTTGACTCCGGCCTCCTCAGCTTTCTGGGTCACCAGACTGTTAACGGCCTCAAACTTCATTTTACCAAACTTCTTCGTGAGGTATTCCTCTTTATCCATCGGTGTCTCCGAGAGGCCAGGGCTGACTATGAAAGGCCGGTACTCGACCTGGAATTCGAGTGGTAGATTGGAACACTGGGCCAGCGCATTTTGGAGCTCGCGATACCCGATGTAGCACCAAGGACAGATCTATAAATAAGGGACAAGACAGAGTCAGAGTCAGAATTCGAGGAATAGCGAATGTGTGATTTTGAAACGCACGAAATCGGAAATCACGACAAGCTTGACGATACGCTTCGATAGGATGGTCATGGTGGTCGAAAGAGTAGTACTGAGAGATCCGAATGCCACAGAGGCAAAGGGTTGAGATTATAGTTGTTGCGTTGTTCGCTATGGAAGCGCTGAAGGGAGAATAGCGGTATGGTGGAGAGGAGAGATGCGGTATGTCTAAGCAGGCGAGTATATGGGAGGAAGTGAAGGCGGTGTGACCAAGCCAGAGCCGATCGGGATCCTTTCCAGCTGAGTGAGCGAGCTTCCGGCACAGCTCCGGCATCGTTCGGAGCCTGTCACAGTCTCACGTCACATCCCATTTATGGAAACTCCGTGCACCCACTCGGGTTCCGAACTTCGCCCGCCGAGCACAGGAAATCTAATCATCTCCTCGTCGAAAACATGCCCGGTCCCTCCATATGGTCCTCGCAGTCGCTGCAAATACCAACGCTGACCAACTCGAGACCGACGGCAAAGCTCTAGCTGCTATTCCCGAGCTCGCGACTTGCTCGCGGCTCGCTCGAGCCCTACTAATAGGTGAGCGCTCATGCAGCATGGTCCAACTCCGACTCGTTGGGATTGCGCCAGAGATGATTGGCTCTCTCTTAAACTCTTACGAGCAGCGCTGAAGCGCTGATGGCTATACTATGCTCTTGGAGGTAACGGTCTTCACTTTGTCCACCGGCACATTGGCGCGTTTTTCTCTTGCAACTTGATCCCAGAATCTGGATTCGAAAGCCACTCTTGCCCCACGGAAGTTATCTAGGACGTGATATAACTTGGACAGGATCTATCGTTATAACTTAGCTCAGGGCCTCTGCTGGCGGCGATTTACGTAACCTCATACGGTAAGTACTAGAGAGGATGAATGAACGTCTGCACTTCGGAGGTAACACACAATTCTTCGAGAGGATCCGGCGTCCACAACTGATCAGGCAGTACAGTGTCAACCGAGCTGAGCTCGGGCTCCACGAACAAGATTATATTCATGTCGACAGACACTCTCGAATCCCTCTCAGTAAACCTTGTAGGCGGCGCGGCACCTACCCCCTACCGAGTTCTGTCGAGCCGCCATCCGCAAAACGCCCCGTACTACGTCTATCAGCGACGCCTACGCTCCTTCACAACAAGTCGTGTCGGACTTTGAAGCTCAGGCCAGTGCAGGCCTCTCCGGACGATTCTAGACGACGACAAGCTTATCAGTGTGTGCAAATCGCTGCCGATCTTCGTTTGGAGACCGGTCTGGATATGCTGACTGAGGCGTCGATCACCCCTCGACTCGTAAGAACGCAGTAACCTCGTGTTTTTGTTTGCTTGTTCAGCTCAGATCACTCTAAATAAACCGCTCCCCACCATGCGTCACTTTCAAGTCATCTGGATGCATGGCCGTGGAACTCTCATTGCCTTTATGAGCTACTGCATAACGAACTAAAGAGGCGCCTCTTACTCAGACGATCTTCGACGTTGTGCACATGCTCTGTATTCACCCGAGCCGTGTTCCGACATGGGTCACGACATTCAACGGTGAGTGGATGAAAAATTACTGACCTGTTCCATCCTCTCAATCGATTGCTCTGTTTACGAGTAATGCCAAATCGCACATAATGACACAGAATTAGGAAACAAATGAGCTTCGTGCCACTCACTTGATTGTGACTCATTATGCGAGGCTCACGCTGACTTTCTTGAATATAGAAGCAACAAATCGTTCAGCGAGTCGGCACAGAATGCTTCAACAGGCTGATACGGACGATCTCGAGCTGTCGCTTTGTAATTTGCTGTCCATCCGCCGGAGCGAGTCTTAGCTGCGCGTTTTACTTGCTGGGGCCACTCACGAAAACTTGTCCTGTAATCTCCTTGTTCAATATCTTCCGAGTGAAGTAGACACGGGTCGAATATGAGTCCAAGGTGTCGCGTCGGTCAGACTAGGAACGGACGAATCACACGAAGTCAATTTAGAACTCCGACTTGCCCGCGTGGCGGAAGATTGTGTGGCGCCATCTGATGTTTTTCCTTCTCTGCACAGTCTTGGAATGTTACTCAACAAATGGAAAAACTGAACCTCGTAAGAATTTGAACGATTGAACGCCCTGTCATGTCCAACAGTGACACAAAACATCATACCACACAACCTGCCACTAGCCAGGGTCCTTCCGCTCTTTCCATACTGCTCCTACCCTCTTCGCCGTCTCGCCCTCGCTGTCCTCCTCGGCCACTGTCACCTCTACCACCTGTCCCTTCGTCCGCTAATTTCAATCTCCGTAGTATGCCTCCTCATTCCCTCCGTTGCCCCTGGTGCTACATCAGAAGTCGGAGCCGGAGCTCCTCCTCCGTCACTTCTTCAAGTGTGCTGATAGTAGGAATATTTTAGTATAACCAACGTGTCTAAGTGGTGGCAATGAGACAGATACTGACAATGTTTTGGGAGCAGGCTCTGATATAATAGGGAGGAACGACGACTCTGCAGGCGGCGGATCTCGAGAGTACAAGAAAAGGTATTTAGACTCTCCTACAATGAGGTGTCTTCGATTCTTCGAAAGCGCTACGATGCTTGTAACCCTACCCAGACCACGAGAGCGCCAGCAGCGATATTTTATGTTATGATAGCTCTGCAGTTTATCCCGTGAAGTCCATGCACAGTCGAATGCAAAACCGTCTATCAATGATAATGGGACCAATTTTCCCGTCTGAGCACTCCATATGTCGATACCGTGCTGAGAACTATGACCTATAACGAACATGCCATCGGCGGAGAAGTCGAGGAAGGAGATGGTATGTTTGGGTTTATCAAGCACGCATTTGATCGTGCGGGCCTGAAAATCCCAAATCAAGACGTTCCACTCTATATCTGCAGAAACAACGTAATTTCCATCAGGTGAGAACACCATGGCCCAGATCCACCCTTCATGTATCTTGACCTTCGACACTTCGTTTCTCGCCTGGAAATCGAAAATGATGATAGTGCCATCCGTGTGGCCAGAGATGATGTATCTTCCGTCTGGAGAGAACGTGATAGCAGTGACACCAGAGTTGTGCGCATTGAACTTCAGAGCTTCAACATTCTCGCTGTCTAAATCGTGAACCTGGACTACCCCCCCCAAAAAAGTATGTCCATACGCGATGAACCTGCCATCATAGGAAAATGTAACGCAATGGTGCCCAAAAGAAGGACTCCTTTGGATGCGCCTCTGGAGATGCCAGTCACCGACAGGTGACCAATGCAACAAAGGATGGTGAGAGTGAGAGGCAGCATCGATATTTGGCCTGGGATCGACTACGCCAGATGAGCCGGGAAGTATTCGCCGAGTTGATGTATCGACGATGGGGTAGTGCTGATCGATACTTTGAAAGTTCTCTATATGAGCGCCATGAGACAATATGTCGTACATGGGCGGTGTAGAGCGAGCTTGAATGAGACCCCGATCGGTAGACGTTGAAGGGGCAGGATGGCGACCGGAATGGGCTATTGCGGCTTCACTGTGTAGCGAGTACTCGTCGTATTGAGGTGCATCAAGTGAACCTTGTAAGGGTGCAGAAGCTGAGAAATTATCAGCAACAGTTTGAGAGCGAGTAGAGAACGACATACAGTCCGCAAAGGTAGGTACTTGATCGTGAGGACCACTCGGCTGACCCCCAGTGTCTGCATCAAGGATGGCACGATATCGCGTATGACTGTCGTCGTTGGGGAGTGAGTAGTGGCCACCTTCGAAATACATGGGCGCGACCGGCTCCTGGTCTTGCAACACCGGGTTTATGGCCGGAGAGGATGGTATAGTCGAAGCTGTGTGGCCGCCGGTTACACCCTGGATTGCTGGAGATGGAACGAGAGCAAGAGCTTCCCCATGATTTGACGCGTCAGCGGAGGAAGTTGGGTGTGGTAATGGAGGATCGACGACCATGGTTTCAAGTTCGTCTTCTTGCTCGACCGCAGCAGGTGAAGGACTGAACATTCCAAGCATGAACCATGAGCAAAGGCAACTCGAAGAGTGGATCAAGCGGTGACGCACTAGCATTGGATGAATTGGAAGCTTCTCGAGACCGAGTTGGCTCCGAATTCGTTTTCCTGGGTCGACTGAGTGCCGCTAGAATTGGAACCACGGGCCATCTCGGTGTAATGCGCGCGCAACTGCTCGTCCTGAAGACGATCAGTCACGGTGCTGTTGATTGCGGACATCATCTCTGACTGCGATATGGTCTTCGCCTTCAACTGCGCCTTCAGCTCTGCCCGCTTTGCCTCAACAACTGGATCAAGGCTCGAAGCTATATCTCTATTGCACTTCGAGCGTAAGGAGGGCTTCTTCTTCTCCGCGACCAAGCGTTTGAAGGAGCTCTGAGGCTCATTGCGCTTGTGCTTCTTCAGAATGCTCTGCTGATGGTTTTGAATCCATTTCTTCACCCTCTGCAAAACCACGACAGGCCATGAATTATTATCATCGATGGATATGAGGAAAGAACTACGAACCCTGTGAGTGTTCTCCTCTCTGACCTTCACTTCGACATCCGTCTCGACGGCACCATCAGGTTTCGCTCGAGGGACGCAAGGGAAGGAACGTTTGAAGTCTTCGACGATAGTCAGGAGCCATAGTCTGTCGGTGGTACGAGACTGTCCTTTGTCAGCGATGATACGATTTTCAAGCCATTCTTCTTCCTTGGGTAGCCATCTGAACAGAGGAGGCTAGTTCACAAGTACACGGTCAGATGGTGACAAAGGTTGACAAGGGAAATTCTACGTGCCATGGTCGACGGCGTCAAATGAAGCGTATGTTGCGAAGAATGAGAGATACCGCAGATGTAGAGGGGAAAGGATGAAGGGGGTGAGTTGGGTACACGCCATGCTGGGATGGACTTATGTATGTGCCGAACTCGTGAAGAGACCAAGAATAGCAGAGATGTTGATCAACCGTGTTTGTATTGGCGCCCACACAGCACAGCACACCCGCCCAACTAGGCCACCTAGTCGCCCGCCTCTAGACAGGACTCCCAAGATGCATGCATGCATACATACACCGCCGAGTCGAAGCGGCTGATATATGCCATGGCAGGTACTTCTTTCCCCAGTTGGCCGCCTAGTCACCCCACCCAAGTCAGCCTCAGAGGGCGCGCGATCATTTGTGTGAGATATCTGGTGTTTGTAGAAGTTCTTGTACAGGAAGCAAGATGCTTAGGACTTTGCCTGACACGGGGACTTTTTGTGTGAGGTTCCAGCGACGTTGACGTTTTCGACGTCGACGACTCACCGCGATCGGAGTTGGGAGCCTTTAGCACATTTCAAGTTCCGCGTTGTGATTGTGGCCCAATAGCAGCCGCGCCACCTCAAAACCGACGCCACACGCCAGCACACGCCCAAATTTAAACGCTCTCAATCTCACATCCAGTGCTCCAGATCATTCCCCAAAACCCACGACAACACACGATCAGAAAAAAAGCATAACCTCTCTCCACCAAACAACGTCAATTTCTCCGATTAAACGAGCGACCTAAGTTAGACGAACAAAAAAAATGACTGCAAAGACTGCAACGTCTAAATAACGGAGTACCGACAGGTCACGAGCGACTACGTGTTTTCGAAACCAATAAACAGGACGAATGAAAGCGGGCGGGGAAGAGAGGGTGTGGAAGAAGAGGAAAGAAGCAAAAATGGGATCCGGAAAGTTTTCGAAAGAGGGGGTAAATGGTCCGAGCGTGAGTGGAGAATCTCGAGCTCAGGGGATGATGCGTGATGGCTAGCTTGCGAAACGAGTGCTCCGACGTTCCACGTCGAGTGCGGAACTAGCTGGTATCCCGTAGGTCCAAAGCTCCCAGCCAGGCAAGATCGTTTGTTATTGTGGAATTGACCTGAGACTTTGAGTGCATGGTGGCGGGTGATCGATGATCCAAGAAACAAACAAGAAAATGCCGCCGATGATGATTTGAACCAATGGAAGAAAGAGAACAAAATACAGGATAAGAATGAACGAGGCCCATTAACCAGGGAGGAAGAGATGATGACGATTGTGATCCAAAGACAAGATGACAGACGACGACAACGACAACGGGGCGGAAAAAAAGGGAATCGCGGACTAAAGCCGAGTGACTAGGGCAGACTAAAAGAGCAAGAATATAAGTTAAACACGACACCGAGAGTGATGAGGGGAGAGAGGAGAGGGAGAGGGCAGACAGGCAAAGAAACAAGGTATACGTCCTGTCCATACGATCAACATTTGCGAAAAAACGACGATGCCGATGGAGGTGAGACGGGGTGGTAGTGTGATTGATTGATGGGGCGAAAAGAAAAAGAAACTATAAAACGAGCGGAGTGGAGGATATGCCTGGTCCTTGAGTAACAAAAAACCAGCCGATATCGTATGTTCATGGTTGAGCGTGCCAGAGGAGTTATGCAGATTAGGTCGGGATGCGTGGGTGCGATGTTCATGCGAGGATGACGTGGGGGGCATGTATACGAGGCAGGATCATTAGCGAGTCGAGACAGTGACGAGACGTTGATGCGTGGGTGGACATAGACATGATAACCTGAAATGGTAAATTGCCGTGCTATGTAAGACCAAGACGTTGCAGGCTTCGAGGAAAGAAGAGCACTCACTGATAGATTATTGGAAGAAAATAGAAAGGTATCGCGCGCACCACAACTAAGCCCTGCAGCAGAACAAGCTCCAAAAGCCGCCTTTCTTCCTCCCTCCACCATGCCCATCCTCGTCCTGCTCCCCCACTCTCGCCATTTGCTCCCGATCGTAGACCGCCATGCCGTTCGCACGCCCCTCCCGAGGTGACAGTGCTCCCTCCCTGGCGTCCCCGTTTTTCTTCCCTTGTGTTCCTGCAGCCTGACTATGTCTGAACGAGTCAGATGCCGTGCCATTCCCGTTTCCATTCCCATTCCCGTTCCCGTAAGCATTCCCATTGAGCGCACCAGTCGAGCCACCGTTAGCTAGAGCCGCGAGACTGCCCGACTGTCCGTTCGGGGCATAAGAACCTCCTGTACCTGGACGGTGATACGCGTTGGGGCTTGGCGCAGCAGCATACGGATGAGGAGCGGTGAGCGCAGTGCTCCCATCGCGTGAGATTTGCTGTTGGCTGGCACGACGACTAGCAGGAGGCAATGGCTGTACACTGACATCCCTACTTGCGTTGCGCGAAGTATCCAGGACGTTCGGTCGTCTGGTGGATTGCTTGACGTGTGCGGTGTTCGGACTGGCGATCACGCCGTTTGCGGCGCTTTGGTTTGGATCCAGGGCTTGGCGAGATCCGCGCTTATGCTCTCCCCTTGATCTGTGCTCGCGAGGTGTGGGTGTACCGGCATTAGCGTGAGCCTGAGCGAGGACAGCAGCGGAAGTCTAGAGAGCGACAACGATCGTCAGTGAACGCTTTTCTGCGTGCGACACATGAGGACTCGGAGCTTACATGTCCGGCTTCCCAGCCCTTGCCGTTGTTCAGCAACATCCAGTCGTAGACACCGTCCTCCGGCTCACCCAGTGTCTTGAGGACCTTGGAAAAGAGCTCCCGCAGGAAATCGTAGTCTGGACTTTCCTCGAAGCCGAGCTTTCGGACGTAGTTCATATAAATAGAGAACTCCTCTGTGTGAAAGAACCCGGATAGGTTCAGCGATTACATTACAGTGAAAGTGAGGTATGTATCACAGACCTGGGAACCCGTCGCACAGTTCTGCTATGGGTGTGCTCTGCTTCTTCTCGCCGATCTTCTCGTACTTCTGCTTGTTCGTGGCTGCTCGAAGACCCTGAAAGAGCTCTTCTCAGCGGAAATCTCACAAGAACGGGTCAAATCGCGCGCTCACCTGCCACGGCAGACCACCACGAAGGAAGTACATGAACACGTGCCCGAGCGACTCCAGGTCATCACGTCGGGATTGTTCACGGCCCAAGTGTGTGTTGATCGACATGTAACGAGCAGTTCCGGAAAGGGATTTACGCTCGCGGTAAGGGATGTGCACCTTCGTCTTCGGGTCGCGGTAGTGCTTCGCCATGCCGAAATCTACGGCCCAGTTAGGTTAGCAAACATTCACGCTGGATATGGAATACGTCTATAGGTGATCAAAGACTAGGAAGTTCTGGCATTTTCCAGGCGAGGATAGACGCTGCATTTGACCAATTGGGGCCACAGCGGAACCGTGCAGGACAATGTGGAGTGCTCATGGCCGGCGAATGCGGTGATCGCCGAAAACTCCACCAAGAGACGAACTACAGGCATGGACGAGCATGCTCACCAATAACATGAATGGTATTAGCATTCTTTGTCCCGGGAACGCCAATTAGGAAGTTGTCGGGCTTGATATCACGGTAGATGAGGGACTTGTCGTGGATGGCCTGCACGCGAGTGACCTAGATATTATGTCACAAGACAACATCAGTGATGAGCGGTTTTTGACAAAGTGGAGAGTCCTACCATCTACGAGTGGTAGTAAGAACGCAAACACGCAATAATGGGCTGTTAGCGCGGGTGGGTTGACATGCAAACGTCGACAGTCACCTGTTTAGCCGCCATGCAGACCGTCTTAATCGAAAACTTCCGACCACACATGTCGAAAAGGTCCTCCAGGTTCGGACCAAGCAAGTCGATGGCGAGGACGTTGTGCAGACCCTCCTGGCCGAAGTGATGGACCTGGGGCACACCGGCTATAGTCGGTCGTACAGCATTTCGGGTTGGAGCATGAGTGACGTTGATGGCGGAATGAAGAGTACGTAGAGTGATGAAATCATGGACTGAAAGTAAGACAACTGCGAGTATCAAAGCATAGTAGGGAGGGCGTACGCGTGCCGTTCAACGTCCTGTAGGAGCGGTATTCGTCTCGCAATTGTGGGGCATCGGACTTGCGGGGTTCCTGTAGCACAATGAGCCTCGGTGGCGACTACGAATGATTGCACACGTACGAATTTGATGGCGACCGGTTGGTTCGAAAGGAGGTTTGTACCTACGAGTATACATGACATGGGTGACTGTGCCAGCGGACAAGGGAGAGGAGGATAGATACCTTCGAAGACGACGCCGAAGGAGCCTTCTCCGATTTTCTTGCCTACGCGGAAATGGTTGCCGACGATGCCATTCGATGAGCCGGACTGGGATGGTTGTGCCGACGACGAGGCAATTACATGGGGGGTCGCCATCGGGAAGGAAAAGGGAATGGGATGGGGGGAATGGTGTGAGGAAAAGAGAGGGTAAAGAAAGAGAAAGGAGAAACGGAGGACGAGCGACGCCTGCGAGCGGGGCCGCCATCCGCCCACCCAACCGGCGGAGTTTCAACTCCCAGGAACCCTCTCTCTCTTGGCTCTCCCACGTGCACGCTGACCGTCCTCCTGGCTGTCATCCTTCCTGCCTCCGTCCGAGACCTGCAATTGCACCCTTCATGCGAATACTCCTTTCATTCATTCATTTGTCGATCCCCCCAAACAGCCCGCTTTTCATTCTCGAGCCGCTGATCTCGTTCAAGGGACTTTTAGCTGTAATGATCAGCCTAGGCCCCGATATCACCGTTCCTGTCAGAATATTCTGGCCGTGAGGCCTTTTGCATGACCATTTGCTGCGTATTTCAGCACGGGTAGGCATGATACCGTCTTTGATGTTGGACGATAGCGCTGGATGCCACTACTAGTCAGATGCAAGAGCTTGCGAATGGCATACTCTCTAGTAACGGAGACTACACTTGTTCGAAACAACGGTGCTTCAAAAATTGATTCAAAGACAGCAGAACCTTGAGTATACAAGAACATCATCTCACGATCAGAGTCATCCCTCATACAATACCCGGTCCCCAGGGCTTGAGCCTGTCCGACTAATACTTCAGCCCGGCTTACTATGTCTTGCTATGGTTTTCATGATCGCCTCTCTGCCCACTCGGTCGCCATGCCCTCATCAGGTTCCGGGAGGGGTAAAATTGCCCTGACAATACCCAAGCGACCTCATCCCGATCGCGAACTATGTTCTGAGACCGCAATATTTGTGACTTTCATCTGGTACGTTTCTCCATGCCATCCTCGAGCTCCTTACTTTTAGTGACACTGTGTGGCATGCTAGGGCAAGCGCTCGTCCTCGACGTTTGACCTCACGTTCTGCATCGGAACATGTCAGAGGTCTCATCATAGCCCCCTATAGATGGGGCCACAGGGGCCATAAAGTTATTTGTACGGCGGAGGGTTTTTCTTCTGTGTTTTTTCTTCTTCTTTTCTTTTTTTTTTTTGCATCCGGTTTCTTGTCCGTCAGCGAGGAGGCCGATCGACTTGCACGGCGCCACTCTTTAGGCTCGCTTTTTACTAATTTGCCTCCGGATTAGGATGCACTACTTCCGATGATGTTCTTACGAAAGTTCTCAGATCATGGGATCGTGCGTAGTCGCAGTAAAGGATACACGGTCGAAACGAGCTACGGGCAAGATAATTGATTTTCTGTGTACACTCGGAAGGTTCAAGTCATGATCTGCGTACCCCCTTGAGTCTCCGTTCACAGCATGAGGAAGCTTGCAAGTCTACCGTGGCTTCTATCATAGCTCATCGTCTCATCCGAGTCATACCTTTCTCCATTGGAACCGAATTCAATTCAAGTTGACACGCCACTGGCACTGAATATATATACAACTAGGGGGTCGAAGTCACCCTGAGCCACTCCCCGTCTTCTCTGTATCATCCCATAACGCCATAGAATATGAAGCGCGGATTTCTCAACAATAAGAAGGGCAAACAAACTATCGACGGTATGCTATTCGTGCTCTTCGCCACGTCTATCTACTCTCGTTGACCTTTGTTCCCCTATGACAGCCTCTCCTAAGGTCAATGCCGGAACCAAATCCAACAAAAGGGGCGAACAAGCTATCGACAGTATGTCATTCGTCCTCTTCGCCACCCCTATCTACTCTCGCTTAACTTTATTCCGCCATTACAGCCTCTCCTCAGGTCGATACCGAACCCAAACCCAACACGAAGAAGTTGGTCATCGATGGCATGTTACCTTCATACTCCTATATCTTTCCTATAGCTCATTAGCTTGACGCTTCCGCACGTCTCTCCAGAGCTTCTGAAGCAAACCGAATGGAACGATGAACCTGCTGGTTCCCTCGCTGACCTTTCTTCCGCTATTACAGCCTCTCTGGAGGTCAATACCGATCCCAACACGAAGAAGTTGGTCATCGATGGCACGTTACCTTCATATTCCTATATCTTTCCGATAGCTCATCAGCTTGACACTCTCGCATGTCTCTCCAGAGCTTCTGAAGCAAATCGAACTGAACGACAAACCTACTGGTCCCAAAGAGGAATTCAATCGTGCGTGAACAGTCCTCATTGATGTATGTTCCTCTCGTACCGTTCTGATATGAGAAACATACGTCTGGACATTCTATGTTCGATGTTCAAACATTCAACAGCCGTGGATGCACGCAAAGTCACCGACTGGAAGATGCGGACTGCTGAAGGCAATGGATCTAACTCGTTCTTCAGGATGCCGTACGGTACTCAGCACAGCCTAGCAGGTGGGTCTTCGTCGTCCCTGTCTGCTATTGATTTGATACTCTATACTGATGCTGCCGGGGGGGTACACAGGCGAGCTTCCCGAGGGCTACAGGCTTCCATATGTACATGACGTGCGGTCCTTCATGGAAGGCGACCATGCGCTCATTGGAAACAAAAGAAGCGATGCGTCTTCAAAGATCATGTTCTTCACCACCCAACCTCAACCTCCCAGCCCCGGGAACGGAAACGAAAACACTCTCGACGACAGATCGGATGCCAACGACCGGTCAGAATGCTACCTCTCCGACACGGACAAGCGTGCCCTCCTCGCTATCAAGGGATACCCGCAGCCCCTTCGCCCAAATCCTTCCTCTAAATCTCTAGCGTATCGCATCAGCCCCGCTGGCGATCATGGCATGGGTATGTTTGCGCGCCGTACGATCCGGCATGGAGAATACATCTGTACCGAGAGGCCGCTTCTCGTCATGCCTAGTGCGAATGGTATCATGGGTAACGTTTCGCCGGAATTGGATGCAAACATGGCGTACGAGGAAATGCAACGGATCTTTCTGGCGGAGCTGGAGCAGGCGTTGGAGACTCTTTTGAAGCGCATGACGCCGCAGCAGCAGACGGAATATTTATCTTTGGCTAACTAGTCAGTCATATACCGTCGTTAGGTTCTTTCCACTTTGCATTGTGCACCAGGTGCACAGACGTTTGATCTAATATTGGATGCATTTTTCCAGTCATGTCAATGATAGTAGCGGGCCCCTTACCGGCAGGCTGAGAACGAATGGTTTGGGACTCGGCTCTGAGTTCCAGCACGGTTACAGCAAGTCAAAGACGGTCCCCTTCACTGGTGTCCCATTCAACATAAGCCGCGTGAACCACAGGTCGGTAGAAATCTCCCATAACTTCGTTCCCCTTCAGTGCTCCCTTCGCAGGAACTGACGAAGCGTTCCGCATCTGTGCCATGCCTTCATCACAGCTGTCACCCGAACGCCACCTGGAGCTTCGATCTCCCGTCCTTCTCATTCCACCTCCGAGCCGTCCGCCAAATCGAAGAAGACGAAGAAATCTGCATCTCATACATCTACACCACATCCGCCACCGCCGAACGTCAAGACCATCTGGCCCCCTACGGATTCCAATGCACCTGTCTCTCCTGCCTGGACCCCGAATCTGACAATCGCCGTGCAAAAATCCACCCTCCCCGCTTCGAGGTATACGACCCTTCCATCTCACGGCGGCCGCCTATAAACCAAGATCCCACGAAACATATGGATCTGCTGAGACCGCATCTCGAGAGCAATATCAAGGAGAGTTTGGAGCAGCTTGCGTTGATCGAGAAGGAGGGGATGTGGGAGCGTAAGGAGCATAGGCAGTATACTCGCCTTGTGGCGTATATGTATGAGCTGTTGGGGGACACGGTGTTGTCCGAGTATTATAACTCGAAGATGCCGGACGAGAAGGAGGGGTTCGACGGTGAGGATTTCGAGGTGCGGTTTAGATGAACTTGAAGTCCATTTTGCGTGTGGCTCGGGCGTGTGGTTCTTGTGTTTTTCTTGCCGATTTGTGAAACATGTGTACAATATATGATTGATGTTTTCTTATGTCCAAAAGTCATGGCCGAGTGCGTCCCGTATCGACAACTGCGTATATAGAAGAAACCGAGTGCTCTCAATTCGCCACAACGCCGCCAACCCGGACTTCGGAGGCCAGCATGGAGAAGCAGTCGGACCGGTGCGGAGGCTCGAGCTCCTTGTGCGTTCAGCCACGGCAAGTTCCACAGTTTGTCCACAACCCAACCCCGTCCACCACAACACCTCCTGGTACTTTTCTTAGGCTGCCGCTGCTTTTCATTGCTTGTCATCAGGTGAGTGTTTACTCCTAAAATCGCTCTCATACTTTGGATTAATAAAGAACGTTTGGACACTGGGTAGAAGACACTGAACAGGCGCCTGAGCCTAGTACGCCAACGGGTGATCCAGGCTATAGAAGTGAGTGCATGAATTTATTCAATCGTCGCAGTCAAGTTCAGCTGGCACACGAGATCATTGACATCTGGCTCATAGTAAATATTGCAATGCTCTTGCGATTCCCAACAGAGCTACAAGTGTTCATCTGCGAACGCGCCACCCGTGGCACGCTCGTCGCGTTATTGCGCACTTGCAGCCACCTCTGCCTTCTCATCAAGCCAATCCTGTATCGAAATGTCGTTTTAGATGACTGGAGGGCACGACGGGTACACGGAAAAGGTCCAAATATTCTGTTCACCGAGACCAGCATTTATCTCTTTCAGATCACTGTGCTGCGAACAAGGTCGTTCTGTTGGGAGTTCATCACATCCCTCGAGATTGACGAACAAGAGCAAATTATTGGATGGCACAACCTTCGACTTATACTTCCACGGCTTTTTAATTTGCTGTACCTCAGGATTAACTCTCTTATGTGGGCCGATGACGATCAACATGGTTACTTTCTTTTGACCTATAATATCACCCCTCGCCTCCGCGAATTCTCTTCCGCCACCGCAGTTATTACCGTCTCATTCATCGACTTCCTTGAGGAACACCCTAATCTTACGGTCTGGCGCCACGGATTCTCCGACTCCAGTCCACCTACAAAACTCGCAGCACCATCTATTCCCGAAGACATCCTCTCTCGTTTCACTCAGTACGAGGTCATGATCGACGATCCTATGCGCTTCACCGTGAACCTTCGAGGAATGATCAACCTCACTCATCTCTCGATCCGATTCTACAAGACGCAGAAAACTGCAACCATCCAAGAGCTTGCGGAAGCGATCGACGTTTGTGGCAGAAATATCACGTTCTTCGCCTTCGACGGTCACATCCCTTCCCTCTGGCTTCAAGAGCAGGGCCAAGAACGATCTAGCTCGTTCAAATGGGTCCTAGTCAACTTTGTCGCACGAATGCCCGTACTACGTCACCTTCAAGTCAAGGACTGGCTCGAGCATCCGCGACTGACGTCCCATATAACTGCGCTCATCCCGGCCACTCTGCACACTCTCAGGGTCCGCAACAGTTTCAATCGCCAAGTCGCTCTGCAGCACGGGTCTTTGGAACGCGCCTTCCAGGCTATAAACATTCTCTATCCCTTCATGCCCTCTATGACCACATTTATATACCATCGACACACTCTCTTCCGCACGGATGATAGGGCTTGGAAGCTCAATACTTCTGCGGAAGATACTTGGACCCCGGATTGGGGCTTGGAGAGCTCGTATTTCTCTTAGTCGGGTGTATGGCTACAGAGTGAGTTTGTTATTTGAGTCAAGTGTTTGACTACTCGAACATATACGTGTTTGGACTGACACTTTCTCTCAATCTCTCAGTCTTGACGGCGTACCCTTCACCGGATACTCCACGTTGTAACTTTCATCTTGAACTTGAATGATTACAATCTCCTCTACTTTTGCTACGATCCTTCCGCCTTGTATCATTGCGGTATCATAGTAGCGTGAACAAACCTGGCAGTCTCAGCGCTGATGATTGTCTGTCCAACGCCATGACGATATTCGGCGGCCGCTCCAGTCCCTTAGGTGGTATGCGACCATCGAACTGACTACAGTCATGCCAAGGTAGTGTGGTAATCGAGGCGTTAGATGTGTCACCGGATGTTTGTTAGATGGAATGACCGCTAGTAGGCGCAATCACTGTGCCAGAGGAAGACGGCGGAGCAGGCAAGATGAAAAGGATATCTACTCCAGAGATATGATTTATTCAAATATGCTGACCGCGCCGATTTATACAGCATCGACGGTCAAGTATGAGGTTACCCAGAATCTAGGATGACAGCGACTACGGTCCAAACGGCTTGCAGAACGAACTTCTGGGGATGCCTCTTCGGCAGATTGCCGGGACGTCTGAAACAAACACGTGCAAATAGACTTTCGCTCTACACACATCACTCGGCTTCAACGCTGCACTGCAAGAATCTTGCTACGAGCTTCTGTTTGTAAGTATGTCTTTTCATCATAGTCGACCTAAGGGTCTTTGCGCTGACTACTGGCACTCTCAAGGCTCCACCACCGGCAAAAAGTGAGCCACTGGCCCTAACGAAACCCTTCACAAAGTGTGTTTACTTTCTGGGGTTGACATATACTCTTTACCTTTCCGTCACAAACCGAGTACAATGTCAATAGCTAGCAAGTTCTAATGATCTTCACATCGTTTTCAGTTTCCGAAGGCCTTCCTGCACACTGTGAAGGGTTCTTCCGCGTCGCGATCCGAAACACCTGACGCAGGGGACAGACAGACTCCCGAACGCACACATATATCGGCCATGCCTACCCAAAAGGGCTCGCCTATTGCGGCACTACCTACAGAGACTCTCTCGAACATCTTCGTTCTTAGCATAAGCCAAACCCTCGCTCATGATGAGCCTATATATCCTCTTCTATTGGACAAGACGAACTCCCCGGACGTTCTCGCACAAGTCTCCCGTCGATGGCGTGAAGTGGCTCTTTCGATGCCAGAGCTATGGTCGCGAATCACTTTGAGCCCCCATCCCCGTGCTATCTCCATGTTTCTTCAACACAAGCAGCAAGACAAAGACACTACGAGGGGCTGTTTTGAAAGGTGGCTCGAACGGTCAAAAAACGCCTCATTATATATCGACTTGAACCCTAACCTCCATGTCCCGGACGAAATCTACGCCAGCTTCTTGATCCCGAGCCTTTTGGACGCACTCGAACGCCACGTCAATCGCTTGCGGGATCTGAGAGTCACGGAAACGCAATCACCACACAACATTCCTATCGTACGACCTGACATCACGGCTCCCCGTCTCGAGAGAGTGGTTCTACGGCCATCCCTGACAAAAGTGGGCTGGATTCCTATCCAAGTGTCACTATTCAAGAACGCACCCAAGCTATCCCACCTGTCACTCCCCGTATCCTATACGATCCGTATATATGGTCTCCCTTGGCATCAATTGACTCATCTCAATATAGATGACCAGGATTACCAGGGCCCCCAGTTCTTTCGTGATTTACCCGCCATTTTCGCCAAGTGCAGGAATCTCGTCACTCTGCGTGCGAATATCGCCTCAAGTGGCGGCAAAGTGACGTACGACGACTCAGGGTGTGGACCACGAGCTATCCTTCTTCCTAAGCTTCAGAGCCTCGCTATTCTCGGCAGAGTGGACATAGTTGAGTTCCTCGTCGCCGAGCTTTCCAGCTCGTCATCCCTCCCAAAGCTACGGACCCTGGTCATCAATTGTGAGGCCGAACATACATTTTCCCAGAGGCTCTTATTCTTCGTCCGGCTTCACTCCGACACGTTACGGCACCTTTACCTGCACGGCGCACCTAAACCGGGGCTCAGTCCTTCGGTATTCTACCAGATCTGTTCCTCCCTTCCTCGCCTCACCAAACTCTCCCTGAACGCATACATACTCAGCGTCCCTCTCGCCACCGCTCTCACACTCCGACCCTCTCCCTTCGTATCCTCCACCACTCGGACCCTCGAAGGCGGCCTGAACCCCTTTATTTCGTCGTTCACGATGGTGCTTCCCCCCAACCACCAAAACATCGACGTTCCACTCGTAGGCGGCACCCTCCTTCGCGGGCCGTATGCTGCCGCCGTAGAGGGCGTCGCCTTCATGGTGCAGTCACGATGGAGGTTACCGCAGAGTCTCACTGAGAACGGTAGTGCAGCGAGGTTGGAAGAGGTTTCTTTGGAAAAGAGTCAATGGGACTGGATGGCGAGGAGTGCACCTAATGCCTACGCAAGGATAAAGGCTTGTGTTGGAGAAGGATTGCGCCTATCGTTTGATGTAGAGGATGATGATCAGCTCCGTGAGTTTGATTGGTACCGGTGATGCTTCCTATATAGATGCCTCTCCTCGAGACAGTTACATTGTACTATGCGATTCTCGATTTTTTTTCCAAGCGGGCTTGCACAATTCTTGATGGTTCATCCCACTCCCCGTGTTTAGACTGTCGAATACTATTCCACATGACTTTACGATATTGCGAGCTCTTGCGGAAAGGAACAGTGTAGAAGCCGGATGGAGTTTCAGGTACCGCAAGAGAGGTACGAACATCACTCTTGAGGGTCGCCACAAATGACTACCACAAGCAGGAGAAGTTTCAACGCATGATATTTCGGCCATAGAGGACATATAGCGCATAGTGTGACATGTAGGTACGAAGATCCTTAAGCAGAGATGGTGACCTCGACCTCGACACCGGGCTCCAAGCTGATGCTGGTCTACACACGCACAAAATAACATGCATCAGAACACAGACGACCGTACAACTCTAAGGAGAAAACTCACGATCTGCTTGACGATCTCGCTGGAGGAGTGGAGGTCAATCAAACGCTTGTGGATCTTGAGCTCGTAACGGTCCCAGGTCTTCGAACCCTCACCGCAAGGCTGTAGTTGACGAGCAAACAATCGTAAGCACGGAAATACGTTGAGAGAATTAGACAACAATGTATACGCACAGTCTTACGGGTAGTGATCTTCAAGACCTTGGTGGGGAGACGAACGGGGCCCTTCACACGGAGCTGCTTGTCCTTGGCACGGTTAATCAAGTCGTTGGAGACTATAGTTGAAGTTTCAGCTAGAGCACTGGATGTTAAGGAAGAAATTAGACGTACACTTCTCCAAGTTGCGCACATTGCTGCTAGTGAGCGTGATGCGGATTTTGTGCAACTTCGCGGCGGGCACGGGGGCACCGGTCGCATCGTATTCTTTTTCACCCTTAGCGACGTAACTCATTTTGTGGGAGACAGAGGTGACTAGACGTTGAAATATTGAGTTGGTTATTAGCGAGCAATAATTGTGAGTACGCACCTCAAGGGGTCGGTCGTAAACTTGAGGAAGTGAGGATTGCAAAATCTGGATGACGGATCTGAGTGGGCGAAGATTAAGGTTTACGGCTGTTCCCGAGCGGAGTCGATATTCACTCTTGGGTGCCACACTCCTGTGGCGAGGCATTCACTTTATCGCCTACGTCGACCACGAGCCATGCAGGGTGAGTGCCATATCTGTAGTTCTTTCCTAACATATGGCTGATAGTATCGCAAAGGATTCAATAAATACTACCCACCTGACTACGATGGCGAGAAACACAAGAGTCTCAACTCTTACAGAGGTTCGTTACCCCTCAGCCCCTCACGAAAGCACGAACATCCAACGCCTGCCTAACTACAGGAAAGCATGCTCTCGGTGACCGAGCGCGGAAGATTGACCAGGGAATTCTCATAACACGCTTTGAGCTCCCGTTCAATATTTGGTGGTACGTACCACCTTCACTCGTGTAAACTTTTGTGGCTCCAAACTGACTCGGCGTGCTTGACTTGTAGTGGACACTGTGATGCGCACATCGGTATGGGCGTGCGGTATAATGCCGAGAAGAAGAAGATTGGGATGTACTACTCGACACCTATCTTCTCCTTCCGGTGTAAGTGTCATCTCTGTAGTGGCTGGTTCGAGATTCAGACGGACCCGAAGGTGTGCTTGGTTCATCCTCTACGTTTGGTATTCACACTGACCACGTCCTCTTCTTCTAGAATACACGATATGTGGTTACCGAAGGAGCACGACAGAAAGACGAAGACTGGGATCCGGAAGAGAATGGAGGCTACGCTGTGCATGGTACGTCTACGCCCACACTCTTGCCCGTACTTCTGCTCTGACATATCGGACATGTCAATCCAGACACAGAAGCCAAAGACGAGCCAGTCGACCCCCTCGTCGCGCTCGAGAAAACCACAGACTTCCAAACCCACCAGACTAAAGTACAACTCCCCCGACTCGAACAACTCCAATCCGTCTCAGAGCACTACAACTCCGACCCATACTCTCTCTCCCGTCGCGTCCGCAAACATTTCCGTGAGGAGAAGAAAGTAGAGAAACAGAAAGAGGAGGTCGATAATGGGATCAAGGCGCGATATGGTCTCGACTCTGACTTGGTGCTCATACGGGAGGACGAGGATGCTGTGGCGGCGGCGAAGGATGAGTGGAAGAAGGGGAGGAGTGAGCATGCGAGGGAGCAGGGTGCGAAACGACGGAAACTGGCTTTAGACGCCCCAGTCATCACATCCGCCTCGTCACTGAGCTCCGTCAAACCTTCAATACGACCACCTGCGTCTGGCTCCTCTTCTTCGAAACCTAAACCGAGACGGATAGCGTCGTCCACGATTCCCTCGACGTCGTCGTCCGCCGCTGTCTCTTCATTGCGTGCACGCATCCTCTCGAATAGCGCTCATCGTAGCGGTCCATTCTTATCATCTTCTTCCTCTTCTCGCCAGAAACCGCCAGATCGAACGACGGCGGGCATTTCGTTGAGAAAGAGTTAGAGCGAGTCATTCACCAAGAGGATGTATCATTTCCTATATAGTCCTTGTACTAATATGTAATCGCACCGTACCAATCTGTATATCCTTACGACTTGTAACGCTACGTATACCAACTCCTTGCAACCTATGTAGAGACGCTTGCGAGGTCGAGTGTTGTTGGAAAGTGGACGGAGAGCGTTTGTTCGCACGCAGAGAAATTATATCCATCCAAAGGGAACAACCTCGGTATCGATAGCAAGCCAGAACAACAGGTGTACAATACACAGAGCAAGTAGAGAGGAGTAGGAGGAAAAATAATAATCAAAAAAGGGGAACAGCGACGCGAGATCGGCGGTAGAGAAGGAGAAGCGGTGCGGGGGATGGGGGTGGCAAGCAGACAAATTTGAGGCGTGAAAAAAGGGAAGAAATGAGAAGAAAGAAAATGAGATGAGTAAGAGAATCGGCGTAGATCCATAACCAACTACAAATATACCATATAATAATTCAAAACGGAAGAGACCGGGGGAGAGAAGCGGAGCGACAAACGACAAAGGGTACGAGAGCCGGAATACATAGATGAAAAAGAAAGAGGAAAAGGGAAAGGAAAAGGAAAAGGAAAAGAGAATGCGACAGCGAAAAGGAAACTTAAGGCGTCCTCTATGAAGAAACTGCCCATGGGTGCTCCGACGTCGACATGGGGGCGTCCCACTTCCATCCACTGGCCTCATAAAATGCAGCCTCACCACCGTCGATCTCCTTCCAGATACCCAGACGCAGAGGGTCCTCCTCGCTATCGTCGAGGCCAACAGCTGCGATGTGTGGCGATCCAGCGTTCCCGATGTGATGCATGGCCGTCAAGTGGCCAGCGGCGTCCGCCTCAGAGCCTGACTCAGGACTAGGGTTCGTCGACGAAGCCTGAACGAGATCAGGCGTCGGCGCCTTGGGCACGCTGACGTCGTCGAAGGAGGAAAGATCATAGTATTCTGCAAATGAATCAGGCTCGGGTAGCTGACTAGACGGTGGCGAGAGTGGATGTGGCCCATCCAGCTCCAAGCTACCAAGTGCACTCGACGAAGAACCCTCGCCATTCGCCTCCACGTCAGTAGATGGATAAGCCTTGAGAAGTTCGTTGAGCACATCGCCCAATTCAGAGCTGCCCACGTATGCTTGCGAGCCCTCTGGGTTGGTCGTATTCGTATACTGCGTGATGTTCTCGAGGAACGCGATCAAATCCTCGTCTGACCCGCTCGCAGCGTTCTCGGCGTCCTTCTCCCTTTGCGCTTGGGTGTCACTGAGCGGACCATCCGCATCGGCCTTGACTCTCTTCGGAGACGGTGCCGAAGTGCTCGCCTCTCCTGCCGATGGGCCTTCGTCCTCCCTAGCACGTTTCGCGCTGACCTTGACATCCGCCGGTGTGGCGGGCGTAGCAGGAGTAGTCGCAGCAGCCGTGGATGTCTCTTCAGGAGATGGCGCTGCAGCTTTAGTCGCCTTGCGACGCGTCTTTTTCGGTGCAGCCTTGGTCTTCGGCGACTTGGGCGTCTGAGGCGAGGCCGCCGCCATGGAGGGCGTGACCGCCTGGGCGCTCGGCGTCGCAGCCAAGTGGGGAGGGGTAGCGCTGGAAGCGACAGGCGTAAGACCAGGCGGGAAAGTCTGAGACGGCTTTCGGGTAGGTTGGGCAGGAATGGGGCGCGGCGCAGGAGACCGTTGAGGTAGCGGCGGTTGCTGGTGCGGTGGCATAGGCGACAGGCTGTGCATTCCGTGCTGTGGAGGAGGACCACCTCCGGCGGCGTTGCGCTGCTGGGCTTCCATTACAGAGATAGCGGTCACCATCTGCATGAAGCCATTGTTGGCGTTCTGGATAGTAGAGAGCATGCTACGGAGCGTGTCAAGGTCGACGATGTAGCGATTACTGTTCTGACTGCACTGGTGCTCCTGAAACTTTGTCGACAGAGTCTAAAGAAGCGCTTGGTAAAGACACTTTTGCTTAGAAAGAAGAAGAAAAAGGACATACGATGATAACGAGCTTCTTGATCTGCTCGAGGCTCTGCGAGATGGCGAAATACATAGGCATCTTGTGCTCGAAATCCTTGACCGCAGTTGATAGACGACCAAGGGCCTCATTATACTGCGTGCGCTGGTGCTCGGGAACGTTGATGTAGGCAAAGTTAGCGCCGCCACCTGTCGGACATTGAAGGAGAGATATTAGCATAATCCTGTAGGCGTAAGTAACGGTAATTAAATCACTGACGTTGCGATATCATCCATTGCTGCTGAAGCTCCTTGATAACCTTGTCGGCGTTTTGGAGCTGATCAGGAGAGGGACGCTGTATTGGTCGACGCGGTTGCGCGGTCGGTGGCCCGCCCTGCTGTGGCGGACGACCCTGGAGATGTTGAGGATGCATCGGCGGCTGCCCACCGTTCATCATGCCGTTCGGACCCATCTGTCTACCCATGATCTGCGATTGCTGCTGTCCGTTCAGGTTGTTCATCGCCATTTGCATGTTGAGGAGATTCTGCTGCGCGGGGTTTGGCTGAGAGGAGCCTTGTCCGGCCGATGCGAGCTGCTGCATGTTCCCGTTCATGGCGTTGAACCGTTGCTGTTGTTGTTGCTGCTGCTGTTGGTGGAGCTGAAGCTGGGACAGCTGCTGC